ACCCCAGACGCCGTAGTGCTGTTTTAAACTCGCTCTCGTCCTCCTGCCCGCTCCTGCTCGCCATTTCCTCAGCCACTCAAGATTCCCCTCTGTTCTCCCGCTCGCGTTTGCAAAGATGTCGACCTTCCCGTCTGAATATACCGCTGGTGAGTTATCTCACGTCGCCGTTTCCCTGGTGCTTTGTATATGACGACCGTACCTACAGGAAGCTAGGCATGCCTCCAAGCCGGTCTGGTCTGAACGGGTCATCGTCGGGCATGTCATCGGGGTTCAGCGTCCGGTGTGCGCCGTATGCATTCGGATGCGTAGTACTTGTAGGTCCAGCATTTCAACGAGGTGCGTTGTCGATACGACCTTCCGCGAGCCTTGCTCACCAGACCGCTGTCACCCAGGGCGTGCCCCCCGTCGCCGAATACCAGCGCCAATATACAGCCGACGCCGTATGACAGGAAGAAGTTCTTCGATAAAGGCATGCTCTGGCTGCTCATCGCGTCCCTGTCGTCGTACACGTTCGCGAACTCGAGCACAAGCACATAACGAATTTCCAAGCACACCATGAAAGCTATCGACCGATGGCAATCTACTGCCTTTCCCTCTGCGAACTTCTCATGCACGGCGCAATCGATTCTCCCCCGCTGCTAGTCTTCGTGCACGTCTACGCCAGATCCCATGACGCGGTTCGTCACGGATGCCGCAATGCACAGTGCTGGGACGGTCTTCAAGACGACGTAAAGGAGTGGGGCGATGAAGACGGATCGCCGAGGGTACGCTTGCAGGGGTCTGCGCTGTCTCAACAATGTCAACAAGAGTGCTATGCCGGCTTGGGGACGGGGAGAGTGTGGCAGGACGGTATGCAGCTACAGAACGTCCGAGTGTAATATTTCTTTCTGCAATGACAAGTTATGTGCTTAATCTTCCAGAGCACTTCGTCCCGAGAACTTGTAAGATATCTGCTAAACGAGCATACAAAATGTACAGCCAGATTCGTGTATCGTCCCTCGAAACCTCTCTTTGCCCTCGCCGACTTCTCACATCACCGCTTCGAAGCATTTTGACCTTGCGTACCACTCACCCGTCCGTACTCTCCGTCAGTCTCCTCCTGACACCGCCGCAACTTCGCTCGATTCGCCGATCCCCCACGTACGTGTTACGAGCCGTCCGGCATATGCGCGACGCCCCTTATCCGCGATGTTCGTGGACGCCGGGGGCCGCGGGTTCGCTGTGCATTGGGTTCTCTTCATCGGCGCCGGCACCGCGGTCGAGGAGCAGGCGCACGACTTCAGCGTGCCCCTTCGCCTTCGCATGATCCAGTGCATGTAATCCGTCGGTGTCCACGACTGTGACGTCTGCGCCGTTGTCGAGGAGAACGCGGGCAACGTCGACGTACCCGTACAAGGCTGCTTTGAACAGTGGGGTCCTTCCTTTCCGGCACTCCGGGTCTCCATGGCCTTGTTGTCCGTCAACATGCGGCGGTGTCTGTCCGCGCCTTTCCTGAATGTTGACCGCTGCGCCATACTCGATAAGGACGCGTGCAATGTCGGCGCGGCCATAGCATGCAGCGACATGGAGCGGGGTCGTGCCATCCTCATCCTGCGCGTCAACAGCTGCTCCATGCTCGCGAAGAACATGCACAATACTGACGTGGCCTTGGTATGCGGCGGCATGTAGGGGTGTCCATCCGACCTGATCCTGCCCGTCGACAGCTGCGTGGTGCTCGAGAAAGATGCGTGCGATGTCGACGTGGCCGTTCGCTGCAGCGACATATAGCGGTGTGAAACCGTCCAGGAACTGCGCATCGACGGATGCGCCGTGCTCCAGAAGGGCGCACACGATTTCGACGTGGCCGTTCTGTGCAGCGATGTATAGCGGTGTCGAGCCGGTCTGGAACTGTGCATCGACGGCTGCGCTGTGGTCGAGAAGGGAGCGCACGAT